ATCAACTTAGTCCTGATTCCATCTACCATGGTCTTTATTGGTTTACCCCTAACATCTAATATCATATTGTTGAACACCTCACTAATATTGTTGACAACTAGGTCAGTTTTGCAATTGAAGTCCATGGCATATCTAGCCCAAGCATGTCTAGGAATTTTATTTAACCAAGCCTAGGCAGCCTTACACTCTACTTTAAGAGCATCCATTGCAGAAAGATGGCCATATTCAGTATAGGAGTAACTTGCCTTATCCATGTACTTCTTTAATTCTGACCCCCTAAAACCAGCAGTCTGGAAGTTTTGGTAGACGTGTCTAAGGCAGAATCTTTGGGGGCAATTGGGGAAAACTTGGCTCACAGCTTTCAGAAGTCCCTATTTGGAGAAATGACCAAACTTACTAATAAGCAATGAATATTAACTAATACTAGCAATTCTATGAACTACTTATATCAACCAGTAAGGAGCAATGAATATTAACTAATACTAAGCAAATGCTATGAGTGCTAATATCAATGGCTAATATGAGTAATAACAAAGATAATACCTTCTGTCTATCAGAGATTATGGTGTAAAAAACAAATCTCCCAGATTCTCCACCAATAGCTGCCTTTAGTTCTGTGAGAAACCAGGTCCAACTCTTTGTGTCTTATTTGTCCGCAACTCCAAAGGAAATGGGATAGATGTTATTATTCCCATCCCTTCCTGTGGCAGCAAGGATTTGTTGGCCAGTAGAGAGCTTGATGAAACATCCATCCACAACTGCAATGGCACACAAGATATGTTATAAACAAAGTATGTACTACTAAGGGTGCACCACATTTATGTCATATATAACACAGTTTAGTAGTCACCTATGAATGGTCTGCATCCATTCAGAAATCCTTCCTTACAAGCATTCAAACATATGAAAAAACCATGGAACCTTGGATTGATGCTTGGATGGTATTTTAGGAACTTAGTAGTGACAATGCACCTACTACCTGGATTGGTGTCTAATACAGCCTGCAAGTAATCCCTGATCCTAGTGTATTGCCCCCTCCGATCTCCTTGGACCACCTTAATGGCATTGTTCTTAGCCCTGTAGGCCATATGAGTGCTGATCTCAACTCCATACTTGCTCTTCAGATTTTGCATTATTGTACTTGTTGGTGCGCTCAGGTCTGTTCTTATTGCTTCTAAAACTTGATGTGTAACCCAATTTGTAGTCACCTTGGTACTCTCTGCTACAGCTGGACATGTGTGCAGAAAATACGTTTTCCTAATGCAGAAACTTTTCTCTTTTCCCACCACAGAAGCTGCAATGAAGAAAGGGCAGTCTTCATGTGTGCACACAACTATAATTCTGTCATTGCAGTTCCTATGAAACTGATTGTTTCTGTTCTATGCTATGTGGAAAGTGAGAAGTGCCCTTCTAAATTGGTACACATTATCAAAGCAAAGCTTCTTAGCAAACTGCAGCTCTGGGCTCTCTCTATCCTCATGATACCATACCCTTGGTTTGGGTTTTTTAGCCCTAGTCTTACCGCCAAGCACAAATGCTAGGGGTACAGCCCCATCATCTTCCTCCTCCTTCAAATCACCAGTATCTGGATCCTCATCAGATGATGGTACCCAAACATCCTCAAACTGTTGCTCCAAACTAGCATGTGATCTTGTGGTTGGCCCCTTTCTTACTTTCAACTTCTTCCTCTTTTGCCCCTATGGTAGCACCTCCTTTTCAAGTTCCTCATCATCTCCATGCTCCTCTTGCTCTGTATTTTCCACATGCACTTCTTCTTGTATCTCATAAGGTTCATCTACATCAGTGTCACCTTCAAAGTGTAAGAGTGGGTCATCTCTCTGCCTCCTTAGCTCAGCCATCCTAGCCATGAAATCCTCATCTTCCTCCAAGTCAGGGTCATTCTTCTGATGCTGCTTAAATCTCTCAATTTTTGATCTCCTTCTAAGCTCCATACTTCTTTCTAACTCCTGTTGCTCCATGTAAACATCATCTCCATTGCATTGCTCAATGTCAACATCTGCTTCATTGCCTTGCTCCATATCAACATTGTGGCTCTGCTGTGTGGAGAAAAACTGGATTGGTTCAGGCTCCTGAACTACTGCATCTCTTTTTGATACTTTCGATGGTGACTTGTACACCACCCCAACATCATTCACCTCATATACAATGCTCTCTCCAACATTGGCTATAGGAACTTGTTGATCACAAACATAACCTCTGTTTATATCTGCAGGTCTGGGCTCACTACCCCTAACTATTGTCAGGTTTACTATGTTCTGATCTTTATGGGAAATGTGATCCAGCATCTCATCCACTTTGTCATCATCACATATCTCCTCCAAACCAGCTACTCCCAACCCATCATGCCTCACATAATACATGTAGTCTTTACTTCCATATCCTGCTGTCTCTATGAGTGCTAACAGATTATAAAAAGTGATGTCTGAAACACACATAGTCCTTTCCAAGTTATCCCTATCATGAAAGTGCAGTCTAACTTCCCAAACATCATCAGACAAGCTACAAAAAGGAACAATGCTTGTACTTATTAATTAAACAATATAGTACTAACTACAAACAATAGAAGTGATAAATTTAAAATATATAGTGCATGCCAATTTAAATAAGGGGAAATTGTGACCCTAATGTCTACTTAATAAACTAGTAACGCAAATATCATCATGGCCAATTTGAGTACATTGAAAATATACACTGCATGCCAATTTAAATAAGAGCAAAATTGTGACCTTATTTGTCTACTAAACGGAGCATGGGAATAGCACTGTCTACTGAACTAAAAAGGTATCACTATATTGTCTCCTAAACAGAGCATGGTAATATCACTACAATCTAATTTATAGGGCAGATGAACACTTAGTACTAGGCAAAAGAACCATTTTTGATTTACACACCTAACCCTGACTATGGGATCGACAGAAAATGAGGGGGGTGGGGGGTGGAACAGAGGAGATATCTTACTCCACACCGCCGAATGCAGATGCCCAGTGGTGGCTCCCCATCGGAGTAGCCACCACAGCACGGGCGAGAACGGCGGCGGCACCGTACTCCAGCGACGGGGACGGTGGTCTGCTCCGCATGGCCAGGCTAGGGTTAGAGCTCCCGCAGACCTCCTCAGGTGGCTTTGGATCTCCGTCACCAAGCAACCCTCCTGCGCCGTCGCCGCCTCCGCCATCCACTCCTCCGCCGGCGTCCGGGCTCGCTGTTGCCATGCACGAGACAGAGAGAGAGGAGCGTGCCGTCGCGGGGATGGTGGGGAAATTTCCAAATGCGGGAGAAGTGCTGATTCGATCTGGTCTCTTGACCTAGCGGGGGCGACGGTGGGCACTGTAGCGCCGTTACACGTCGTCAGCTAGCAGCTGTTAGCCACGTCGACGAGACAAGGTCCCACCTTTCATAATAGTGCTTAAACTGCCCGAACAGGAGGTTTGGTTCTTTCTGCAAAAGATTAGAAAAAAATCAGTATTTTCTGCAGCAAAAACGTAGAAGTGTGTTTTCTGCAAATCTAGGCTGAAATGTGATGGTTTTCTGCAATTCACTGCAGTGGAAGGCATGCGTCCTCATCCTGAAGTTGTTCTCTTCCAATGCTTTCCCTCAATTTTAATCATGTTTTGTACCATGTAGGTTTGTTCCAATGCTTCATTGTCCCTCTGCCGGACAGCTGGATCTTTCATCTTCCCCCTTTATTTATTCCTCCAGGTGTCAGCTTTGTACCATGAGTCATTACCAAAAACACAAACGAATAAAACAAGGTTTGGTATTTTTTTATTTGCCTTTTTTTTGCTTTCAGTCTTTTTTTATGCTTAGTGTGTATTTCTGCTTAGACATGCATGTGCAGCTTGTGCGCCCTAGTCTCCAAATGCCTTTTTCATGGATGTGCACATGAAGCAACGTGTGTCTCACTAAAATCAGTTTGTAAGGCTACAGTAAGCATTTCCTTAATAATTACCTAGGACTTGTGGCCGACCAACAACTATCTTATGGTCTCCAAATGCTCCTTCAACTTCGCCCAATAGCTAGTTTGAGCCTAACGTCAACCTCAATGGTGTGTGGTGCATGTGTTACGTGGCTATTATCTTAAAAATGATGTGGTTTAATGTAGCTGCAGTACAAAAAACGAGTCCAAAATAGGGTTAATATTAAACAGTTACACAGAGCAGGACCTTCAACTTGATTCTCTAGGATCCCTCAAAACTAAAGCAGTGAACCAAGAAAAGCATATCTATCTTTAGTTTTTGCTCTTTGCTCCGATTGCAAGAAACGTATCCCTCAAATTCAATGCTCCTTTACTCTTCTGCTACTTTGGCACTGTACAAGAATGGAATAAAGAAAGAGACCTGGATGGTCTAGCTAGCTCTATATAAACCAGAGCTCAATTAAGTTTTGGCAAAGTATGCCACAATAAGATAAGAGAAATCTTGCAACGTGTAGCTGTCTCAAAGCGCCCATCTATTCTAAGGTATGCACAAATTTCTTTTGATTAGTTATCTATATTCAATGACTGTGTTCCTAGTTATGGACAAAATATCTTTGATTAGCTGTTTATATATGTGCACTAGCATGGCCTCTTACATTATTTTTCCCGTGGTGCTTCTAGTTATAGGATTAGAGTATGAAAAGACTTCTGTGGATGAATTTTTTTATGACATTGCTTACACCACGCTTATATGATCATAGATAAGATGATAGAACAATATATTTTATCTCCTAGTGATTCTAATCAGCCTTTCATGCAGAATTTTAGTTAAATGTAATTTAAGTACTAGACCCATGTGAATTGATATATTTCTATATTATCATCATTAGTATTTCTTTACCCAACTCTATATTACTGATCTAGTGTGGGCTCTGTGTGTGTTCACCCTTAAGGTTTAATTTGCTAAGCTTTAGTTGCTCTGTTATTTTCCAGGTTGAATTTTTTATTATTATGAATCCACACTGATGTATGTATTATATTACAACAACATTAGGGAAGGGCATCAATGAGAGGGGGAAACCACTTAGGAATGAAAAGCTTGGTGCAGCTGTTCAACGAGTGGGAGATCCAACTACTAGTGCTTGTTAGCTTCACGCTACAATTCTTTCTCTTCTTTACCGGCGGCCTCCGGCGGCGTATCAGAAGCAGTGTACTGAGATCATCAGTCTGGCTAGCCTATCTGGGAGCGAACTTGGTAGCCGCTTATGTCCTAGGCCTCATCACACGACAAGAGGTTTCTACTCATCACCTGTTTTTTCTCTGGGCGCCCTTCCTCCTCATACATCTCGGCGGACAAGACACCATCACTGCTTTTGCCATCGAGGACAACACTCTCTGGCTGAGGCATCTGTTGAATCTTGTTGTCCAGGTGAACCTCACCCTGTATATCTTTTGGAAATCATTTGATGGCGGCCCTAATATGCAGCTTCTTGCTCCTAGTATCCTTTTGTTTGTTACTGGCACTATCAAGTATGGGGAGAGAACATTGGCTTTGTGGTGTGGCAATGTAAGAAACATGAGGGAAATTTGGGGTGGTTCTGAATCGGAAACGCGCCTTGATACCTCTTCTGAAGACCTTGTTTTCTATGCCTTGCCTTCAGCAAAGGTTATCCGTTGGTTTTTTACTAGCCTTTCGTACAAGCCTCACGCTAACCGTTGGGATATAGATAGTTTACAGCCAGACCTTTCAACCAAGTTATTCGGGATCATGGAGATTCAACTCGGCCTGATGTATGATGATATCTATACTAAGGCCCTGGTGCTTCGGACGTGGGGTTGCACCATACTTCGGTACATCTCACATATTACCTTTCTGGCCGCTTTAGTGCTCTTCTCTGTAATAAGAAACAAAGAAGAGAGGTGGTACTACAGTTCTGTTGACACTGTAATCACCTATGGCCTATTTTTTGGCGGTTTCTCTCTTGAAGTTTCCTCATTATGTATCATCATGATGTCACCTCGGACTTGAGCATGGCTAAAGGAAAAGACTCGGCATTGCAGCTTCCTTGGTTCCATCATTACTAGGTGTCCAAGGAAAAGGATGTTGTGGTCAAACTGCATGGGTCAGTACAACATGCTAGACTATTTGGGACAGTATGACCGGCAGTCAAGTAAAACGATGGCCGTGATCAGGAAATTGGCGAATGTATTTTGCGGGACATACCAAAAGTTGTGTATCAGTAAGCTGGTGGACACCAAGTTCGTGGAGGTGGATGAGCAGATCATGAGATGCGTCGTCCAGAGGATTGCTCGGTATCGCCAAGAAGGTGGATCAAGTAGCCCCCAGCCCCAGCAATGGCCAAATCTTGGCCCACTTCTACACAAGATGGTGCACGAGTACCCTGATTCCAACTTTGATCATCAGTCCATTATCAAATTCCATATAATTACAGAGGTATGGCTGAGTAGGTATATACCCACCGGCACTGCTGTGGACAGAGAGTCTAGTGATGCTTTGGTTCGTGTGTGCCGAATGATATCCCGCTATATGGTTTATCTTTTGGTCAACCGCCCTGAAATGCTGCCAATCTACGATGGCGGCCAAAGTAGTCTTCGGTCAGTAGCATGGCTTTGTGAAGACTTGCAAGGTGCGGATGTTAATGACATCCTCCATCGGACAATTTTGTTGTCGACTAAAGATGATATACCGGAGACCCCGGAGGAGTGCAGAAAAGAGCAGCTGTTGGAGATCGAAGAGTTATGGGTAGGTCTGCTCCTCCATGCCGCCAGCAAGTCACGGCCGGAGATGCATGCAGCACTGCTAGCCAGAGGAGGGGAGCTCCTTACCTTCATCTGGCTGCTCATGGCCCACTACAGACTTGGGGATGTGGTGAACTGCCCCATCGAGATGACGGCTAATGCAACTATTGGTCAGCGCCACTACGCCTTCTGACTTCATCCTCAACGTTATGACGGCTGATCGGTATGTATATATAGGAGTATTTCTTTCTGCACGCACGCTTGCTTACATCTATGAATTTCTTGGTATGTATTTATCACTTGATGCAAGCGACGCTTGATCGATATCAATCCATGCCCATTAATTCTAGCTAGTAGCTACCATCAACTCTCCCATGCACGTATAGATAGAGTTTGTCGTCCTTACCAAAGAAAAAAAAAGTAGAGTTTCTTGTCTAATGTGAATTCTCTTGTTTCTTTGTCAGGTTATGCTGAAGCACTTGTACCGATTTAAACCAATCCAAGCCATACATTTTCATGGATCAATAGGTGTTCCGACTCTATTGTGCCTACTTGATCAAATAAGTGTGCTTCAATGTGGTTTTCTTATCCTCTACTTTTTCCCCCTCTTTTGACGGCCAATGGAGGAAGACAGAGTATTGTTCTTCATTCTATTTGTTGTTATTTATAAACAACTGTCATTATCTTCACCGATCGTTGACCCGTGCTAGTTATTTACACTTTCTTTAGAAGCAACCACTAGGTGGTTTGTTTCTATTTTCTACATATATGAGCTGCACTGTATCCGAATTTGCAATTTCAACAGTGAATAGCACTAATTAAACAAAAGCTATTCTTTTGGTAGTCAAGCATGAACGGTTCATTTCCAGTAAAGCATATACACAGAAGTTCCATATATATTGTGAGATGAATATTTCTTTGCGTATACATCATCGTCGAACAAAACCATAAGTGAAAATAGTACAACGACGAACAAAACCATAAGTGAAAATAGTACAACGAAGCAGAGCGGAGCCGGCAAAATCCGGCGCCATGTGCCAAACTCTAAGATGGGGCCTACTTGGGCGAGGGACGGAGGGAGAGGCTAGAGCCGTGAGACGCAATACGCTCCCATCTTTATCCAGACAACATTTACACAATCATTTCATCACATAATTTTTGGCAACCCCTCTCTTTGCACATCATCAGTTTCAGTTACCGATAGTGCAAAGTATGGCACCAAAATTCCTTCATCGTCTCCTTCTCTAAGAGCATCTCC